AACGACAACGCTATGGAAACGGTGGAAATTTTTAAAACTGATGGTAAAAAACCTAAAGCTGCGCACATCGGATTTATTTATCATTTTCAAAAAGCTATGTTTTTACTGTGAGTAGGTGTTATCGGAATATAAAACAAAATATTAATACAATTATTTATRTTATATTCTGTTATCACTAAATATTTTATTGAATAAATAAATAATTTCTTGAATATATTTGTAATTAAATATTCATAATGTGCTAATTATAGATAATAATTAACGTTTAAAAATATATGTTCAACCATTTTCATGAGGTTGTGAGTAATATTGCAGTCTGGGGATTTTTTTACCGCAATTCGATGGATGGCCACTTTTCCCGAAAAGCCACATAYACCACTAAAAAAATATGGTATAAGGTCAAATCTAAAACAGTTATCATTACTAMAAAGCGTATATTCTATCAAACATAGTTTGAAAGCTTATATTATGGAAAATTCTGTTCGAGTTAAACTAGATAAAATAAAATAAATTATTTTTAATCAAAAGTATTCATCATAGCTTTAAAATTAGCAAGACAAAAAATCGGAAAAATAATATTATATGAACAGGTACGTTACCCTAGCACTACCAAATCAGAAATGTACAAAAAAAAAATGGCGCGAGCAAAAAATCCCCTATGCCTTGATACTCTTTTAGGGAAAATTAAAAAAAGGTTTTCAAACACCCTATAGTATAATTACTGTATAATACGTTATGGTAAAAATACGAATATCAGTACACCAAAGTCAAATCCTAGGTTATACCGAGTGATGTCGGTGAATGTTCGAATTTAGGACATTTAATACGCATAATGCCATAATATATAAAAAAAAATATAATTACCTATAMATTTTTGATGTATTCTTAAATATAATTTTTATTAGAACAACTTTGTAGTCACTATAGTCAGAAAGCTTTTTCACGCACAAGTCACAAATAAAAGTGACATAAATAAATTGAAAAAATTCAAACCCTGGTATACTTTAAACCGTGGTATCAGAAAATATTATAAAAGTAATTTATGATCGACTATCTGATCACACTGTTTGTATGTTTATGATAACGTYCATTGACTTGCAAAACACGGGATATAATATCACATAATATTTTATCCGACTCGTCCCGACTACCGACTCCCGAAGTCCCGATTAGTTATTACTAATTACAATTTAGAATTTATGTGTGTCATAATTGTAACTTGTTTTGTTCAATAAATTTTCGTTCCAAGTTTTGTAAATTATTATAAATTTACAGTAAACGCTTTATTTCTTGATCTCGTCTGTGTTTATTAAACAGCTAAAATGGTCGTCAAAGAAATCATGAACGATTCCCAGTTTCAAGAAGAATTAAACGCAAACGGCTTGAAGCTAGTTGTTGTAGACTTCTCCGCTACATGGTGCGGTCCGTGCAAACGTGTTGCGCCTCTGTATGATGAACTCTCCAATAAGTATGACCGTGCAGTGTTCCTTAAAGTGGATGTTGACAAATGCCAGGAAACTGCCGCCAGTCAAGGTGTATCGGCAATGCCGACTTTCATTCTGTATCGCAATAAGATCAAAGTGGCAAAGATCCAGGGTGCTGATATCGCTGCTGTCGAATCAAAAATTGTTCAGCTGTATGAAGCAGCATGTGCTGCTTCTGGCGAAGACTGTGGAGTACCTGGTCAGATGGACCTTAACTCATTCATTATGAAAACTCAGTGTGAGGCTCTCAATGATTCAGATGACCATCCACTGTCGGCGCTCATTGAAAAAAGTGGCTATATTGAATCAGATTGTGATCAGCAACTTATTTTATCATTAACTTTCACACAATCTGTCAAAGTGCATTCTATTAAAGTGAGTTATTTTTTCATACTTAATAATAGGCAGTAACAAATAAACTAATTAGTGGCTAGGCTGACTATATCAGTTAAATATTTTGCAATATTTGGTTGATTGCATGACCTTTTCATTGTAATAAAATGTATAAGTTACTTAGCACTTTAATCAGTTTAATCTACAATGTACACTTCTTAATATCTGAATTAAATAATGCATTTAATTGAACCATAAACAGAAAATACTTAATTAAAYTAATGAGAAGTACTAATACTATTGTATGAAATTAAGTCTATTGATAAATCTATGATCATTTAAGTAAACTTATATGTATAATTTACATATTAGATGTGTATTTAATAATTTGATTTTTTTTATATGACTTATATGAACTCAATATTTCTTTTTTTTACTATCATTTAGGTTAAAGCGCCTAAAGATAATGGACCAAAATCGTTGAAGTTATTTATTAACCAACCAAACACCATAGATTTTGATGCAGCAACATGTAATTTAGCTACACAAGAACTTGAATTAAAACCTGATGAATTAGATGGTAAAATTGTGAACTTGAAATATGTAAAATTCCAAAACGTCCACAATCTACAGATATTTGTTATTAACAATCAAACTGATGAGGAAGTAACAAGAATAGATAGCTTGGATATTATTGGAATGCCTATATCTACAACTAACATGGGTGATTTCAAACGTGTTGCTGGTAAAGTGGGAGAAGCTCATTAAAAACGATGATGTATAAAAATTATAAACCATATGATGTGTGTACTAAATAAACAGTTTAATATAATAATTATATTCCATTTTTTTTATTTTCAAAAATCATACTTATATATCTATCATATTTATGTTTAATATAAAATTTATATTTGTAAAAAAATCTATTCAAGAACGTTTAACCAAGTAAAAAATATTATCATCTGGATTAAAGTCTTTTTTTAATATTAGATCCTTTAAATTTAGTATTTCATCATATTCTTCCCAGAAACTATCACCTATAATATCTACATGTAATGGACATATGATATGTTTCTTGGATTTAGATGGAGGTAAATTAACAAGTTTTCTTACTAACACTGTACCTTTTCTATAAATTGATAATTCATTATTATAATTAGTTCCACACTCTTTAAATAATATTTCATTTTTTTCTGACGACACTGTCCCACTCAATACTTTTTCAGCCTAAAACAAAAATCCAAGATTAGTTCTTATTCCATAAAAAAAATGTGTCGAATTCCTGATTTTACTTAAAATTGTTACCTCATTATTTGATAATCCTTTCRTTAAAACAAGGCCCCAAAATGCTGTGTTGTACAAATTATTAATGTGGGTATCTGCTTGACGCCAACTTAGGTAATCGCGTAAATTTTGATCAGATGGATATAAAACAACCCGAGCATCAAATGATGGTGGATATAATAGTTTTTTATCATCAAAATATGTATTCCAATAGTATACATATGATGCGGAAAATATGCTATTAATTGCAGACATAATTTTTGACTGCCGTCTATTATATAAATCTGTGTTTTTCCTGAGAATAAAACTATATTCATCACTCTGTCCATAAGCTAAAGACACATCTCTGAATTCTTCCATAACTGCTGCAGCAGATCTGTTCATTAATTCCAAAGCTCTTTTATCATTAGGTTTTTCAAATTTGTGTGAGGATGTAAACCTATTAACAATAATTTAAATGTAATAAATTTAAATTCTTAAATTATTTTTGTATAAGAATATCATTCACTTGATAYCAACAACAAWAATACACTACAAAATTATATTAATACTTTTTGATTGGTTTAAGAACAAAACAAAATGATACATTCTATAGCACATATGAGTTGACATTTTAGAGCTGGGCTGTGTCTGTGGTAATGGGAATGAGATCCTTCCTCAATCGGTATACTACATCAATTGATTGCACGAATCAATAATCAATAAATCAATTAAAAGTTAAAGACAGACCTATGAAACGAACGACCATCCAACCGCACAACAATCCAACAATTCTGTAAACATTTGTCTTCAACTTCAAATGTTCGCACGTATTCGTATTTGCTTTTAGCCATTCCTTTTGAGGTACTCAATTCTTTAGCATTTATATGTATAACTCTATACCTATAAATAATTGATTCAACATAATTATACGTGAAACAAGTTTCAAATTTAATAATTTTATTTACTTGATTACAAAAACATAACATCTAAAATAAATCTTACAATTTTTAATGAAATTTCAAATTGGTAAACGACTGGCGTGAATCAGTCAAGTAAGTGTATAATTATTAATCATGAATCTCATTTCAAATGAATTCAGTTTTTATATTTTTATTTTTTCGATTCCATAAGAACACGCGTACTGATCACTACATATCACGCCGAATCGACCAACGTTTGTAAACACCATAAAATAATTGTAATAAATACTTACCAGTCGCGTAGACTTAACAATTTTTTCGTATATAATGACATGCAAACGAATTAATTTATAAATGTGTGAAACTCTAAACAAAAACCAAAAAAGCGTGGTAAAAATTAACAGAAACTACATTCATGGTGATARACTAYAATGATAAGATGATAACAAAAGGTAAATAGTGTTACAGTTAAGTATTTAATTAGGAGAGATAGGATTTAACGGTCTAAAAAATGGTAAAATGGCTCGTAAAATTCTAAAAATATGTATATTATTGAAAATGGCTTCCAATTTATTCAAAAAATGTTTATGTATCAAGGTATTATAAATTATAACAATTGTATTTTTGATTTTTTTTTTTTAAGTGTTATTAATATAAATAAAAATTTAAAAAAAAGTTCTACAGATATATAAATCTCATCGGCCTAGACTCGTCTTCTAAGTTTTGACATTTCAACTATTGTCCAATAATATAATAAGAATTATGAGGGTCTCTTAAATAAACTGTTATATTTATATGACGGTGTGAAAGAATCTTCAATAATCTTAAAATAAGATTTCAAATTCAAATTTTGTTTCCAAAATCTAAGAAAATAACTAAAAAAAATTTTAAAATTTACAAAATAAATTTATTCTCAAGGGAACATAACAAATTTGTGTAAATACGATAATTTTATACTGGTGCGGTAAGCTTTGGAAAACAATACAAAATGCATCAAAATCACAACCSTATTTATTAGTGCTTTATATAATAGATTCTGTGGTAAATACTTAACTGTAGGTAATAAGTTGATAATATCTACATAGTAAGCGATATAATTAATATCCCGTCCAGCGAGAGAACATGCCACGGCTTGACAAAAATAGGTAATTCTGCGCATTCTGACRCTACATCCTGACCTTGCTAAAGTGGAACCCATCGTTGTTACGTAGTTATGTGCATGATCAGTGTGTTCTCTCACTGGACCTAGTATGTAAAACAGTGTACATGTCACTTTTGTGTATAAGAGGYTAGTTGAATAACTTTCTACTGTTAAGTTCAGCAATTTAGCAAAATTAAAACAGTCCATTTTTGTCTTGAAATTTTGAATAATGAAACAGTGACGTTACATTACTATATTCCTGTSAAATGCTTATGGAATATTTTATTTGAAAATCAATTTTTGAACTTTTATCACTACAGTAAGTCAGTAAACATTTATATAAAATAAATAATAATAATAGGTGCAAAAAGGTAATGTAATACATTTTGTTAKAAAAAAATCAAAAATAGATAACTAAAACAAATTGATGACATATATTGGTGAATATATTAACCTAATATTTTGATGTTATGATGAAGTGAAAAATTCAATACATTTTCATTATAATTTGATAATTTGGGAGCATAATTTCTAAGTAAGAATGATAGTTTTTTGAATTTTTTTTTTTTTTTTTAAATGTCTAATCAGCAAATTATTGGTTTTTAGGAATACCTAGAGAATGAGATATTCTTAAAATTATTATATTTAATTATGTAACTAGAACTTGATCCTTATATAAATTATATAAAATGCAATTGTACATAGTATTTACAAAACATGCATGGATAATAATATTTTGGTATCTTATACAAGGAAAAATGAGAAAAGAAGTTCAAAATTTAATATTACCAATTACTAACAGTTTAACAAAGAACATAAAATGATATATTTATTCTTGAATACTTTTTACAATTTATTAAATTTTTAACAACATAATTAACTATGGTAAATATTTATAATTTATAATTATTACTTATTAGGTATTCCAAAACTAACAATTTATAAAAATGTTTAAAATTGTAATAAATTTCAATAGCGCTATCAGTTATAACTTTATAAGTTAATAAGTTCTAATAATAAGAGGAAAAAACTCAGTCGTTCAATCTATGTTACATCTATCATATTTACCAATTTTGTTTTCTAAAATAGAACTAAGTGCAAAAAATAAGTAAAATAAAACTAATATATTTTTATTTGATTGACATTGTTCGTTAGGTGATGAACAAATAAATTATTTAAAAAGTATAAATTATTAGTTTTCCCAATATATAAGGTTGATTTTGTTCGTTTATAAATAAAAAAACAGAATATATGCACAAGTATATTTTGTACATACATTTGTATTGTGTGATTGATGAGTTGGAGATTCCATAATTTTGATTTTGATTTGTCATAACTCCTCGAAATATGCTACACGAGCCTTGGTTGATCCACACTTCACCTATTAATTATTTAAAATATTGACAGTTATAATGAAGTCAATCTTTATATAAAAAACAATATAGGAATCCATACTAATTATTTTTTGTTCAGTAAATGAAATTAAAAATGTTAATTATCATAAAAATATAACATWAAAATTAAGTTATTAAATAACTAAATTACCCACGATTAAATAATTAATGATTAACTATTCATCTAAAAGTTATAATTAACCGATTGTTAACTGTAGTTTGTAACATTAAGTACTGATTCAGGGAGGTAAAATGAAAAAAAAATGAAAAATATTAAACTATGAACATATACAAATATTTGTAAAGAATCGTAAGTATGTTATAATTTAATACTTGATAAATTGCATATAATTTAATGTTTTCATTGTAAATAGAGTATTTTTAATAACTCACGTATGGGTTTAAGGCATACAAGGGTTATTATGTTATATACTTTGAATTTTGAATTTACCAAAAAATAGGTTTAATATCAGCTACAACCGACAGATTCACTGCTAAAAAGTTTAAGGGTTAGGAATAGTTGGCAGGCTCAGTGAATTTGTTAAATTTATAAAACTATTTAGTATAGAATAAAACACTCCGATGAAACAAATTTAAAAGGAGTTTTTTTTGTATTGAAACATTCAATACTTATCAAAATATATTTGTGATATTTAAAAAGTATTAAAATTCAAAATATTTACTTTTTTTAGTGTAGAATATTTGTTTTCACCGAGTCGCACTTGTTCATCATGCAACATATCCAATTCACATTGCTTTTCATCTACTTTTAACACTTCAATTTCTGTTTTTAAGTCTCTTAATTGATCCTGAAGGTGTTTGCTTTTTTCTAAATACTGAACTCTGTATACATATAATAATATTTAAACACAATTATTGTCTGATTAGTACTATAATTTACAGTTAATATAACCTTTCTTTTTCAATTTCCAATGATAGCTGTTCCATATCATTATCAGCAATAAAGTCATATGCTGGTAAATGATGATCTACAAGTGCCGGTGGATTAGAATGAGTAAGAGAGAGTTGTGGTGAATTAGCATTTAATCTCAATGCATGAAGATCAGCAGGAAGGTCTAATACTGAACTACTTGATACTGAATACAAACTTGAAACACTCTAAATAAAAAATTAGACAAAAAAGACAAGTTTATAATTAACAAATAATAATAAATAATAAAAGGTACCAAAWAATTAAAATATAAACAATTTTAAACGTACAGTATTAACATATGCATTTCTAGAAAGGAACTCAAGCAATTTTTCTTTTGCCTGCTTTTCAGCAACGCGAGCTCTAAGCAACTCCTCTTTTAGTTTATTTGCTTCAGCTGCCCGTCTTTCAGATTCATCTACAAGTCGAGCAGTCAATTGTTCAGCTTCCCGTGTTTTTCGYTCAAGGCTTACTTTTTCTTCTTCAGTCTATTGAATCAAATATAGCACAATCAATATAAAAATTTAAAAAATTTCTGATTTTTTAACTGTAAAAATTAATCATATATATTTTATAGTTCTAATTTTGGACCATGTACTATGGATGTAGCCATCAAGMTGATTTGTGATACCATAATGAATACATAGTTTTTAAAGAACCTAGAATTCTAAATATTTGTGCGCATGCCCATAGTTTAAATTGGTTATTCTKATCAGATTATCAGTCATTCACACATGCACAATAATAATCAGAGCTTTAGTTTTTCAGTCATTTTGACATAAAATCAAATACACAAACATAATATAAATGGCTATATCCAAAATATATAATCTAAGGTTCTAAACATACTTTGAGTGCAGTCAAACGAAATTGAGTAATTTTATGTTCAGCTTCAGATGCCTTTTGACCTAATAACATAGCTTCTTCTTCTGCAACTCGGGACTTTTCAGCCAAAAGATCAGCGGTTTCTTCAGATCGTCTCTGGAAAATGTGTATTGGTAAAATCAGTATTTTTTATTATGGTTTTGTAGTAGAAATCTTAAAAAAAACTAACTAATGCTTCATTTGCTAAACGAATTTCTTCTTGGTATTGCATCAATCGTTGTTCCATAATTGATTTTTCTTTTTCAGCAATTTCTCTTAGTTGTTTTTCACGTGCTAACTTATTACGTTCAATTTGCCGTCTGATTAATATAATAATAATTTTAATATATTTTTTGTGGCTTAACAACTTAAAATAAGTTGATACTTTTAAATAGTTACCTAGACTTTTCTTCTTTTGCCTGTGTTTTCATTTGTTGTACTTCCATTGAATCTGGTTTACGTCTTCTCATAAAAAGATCATGATTTCCTATACATAGGTCTAAAATCTAAAAAGTATATGTGAGTGATAAGAAGAATACTTCATTGATAGTTATTTTATTTAATATTTACCAATTTATTCATTCGGACTTTGTGTGAAAAGAATACAAAATTTGGAGACGTCTTATCAACAGGTTTAATAGTAAATTTTTTATCATCAAAACTAACATGTCTGATTTCAGACCATTGGAATGTTGTTTTCGGAGTTAATTTGTTCTCTTTTTCATAAATATTAAGTCCTAAAGAAGTAACTCCTAACCACAAATCTGTATCTTTCTTGTTCTATATTGTTTAAAAAACAAAGGTTAWAATTTGTAAAATCAAAAATTAGTATAATCTTATAGATAATTTTAACTTACACTAATTGGAAAATAATTTACACCATACATATCTAAATCTTGAGCGATTTTCAAATATTCGATTTCAGCCTCATCTCTCGACATTCCTCGATGGTCAGCATACCAAACTTTAATTCGCTCTTCCCACATTTCTGCTGTCATTTGATATTGATCGATTACTCTTTGAGGTAACAATTCTTCACTAGCAAGCATTCCTGGCTTATAAGTCCCTTCGTCATAGTCACCATACTACACAGATTAAAGTAATCAAATTAAATGTTTAACCTTAAAATATAATTTTTAAATTTCTTTTACTTTTGCTTGCACTGCATATGATGCTAATAAAACTGAGGCTTCTGGTGGGCAATAAATATCCATTGCTAATATGGCACGATTAACTTGTAAAAAAAATAAGTGTTGAGTAACTTCTTGAACAAGTTCTTCAGCTACTTCTTCAGGATAAAATTTTGCGAGGAACATAAATGGCATTGTTGTTTGTTGAGGAATTCCTTGATCTTGTACTATAATATATTAAACAATTATATTTTATTATAAATCAAACAAGTTGAGGCATACCTTTTTTATCTAATTTCAACCAAGCAATAAATCCTTTTGAATCTTCATATTGCAACCCAAAATACCAGGTTTCTCGTAACCCAATAGTACGGCACACCAAGTCAAAAAGATCTCGGCCAGTAGCCTTCAACTAAACAAATATTAGGTAATTCAAATCGAGGTACACGCTCAGGTGTCACAAATTCTAAACTTACCTCTAAGTTAAATTCTAATTCGGCATCTAATGTACACACTTTGACAGGAAAAGATTTTCCCGTCGATTTCTTTCGTTTGAATGGCGGCATTTTTTCTTTCATCCTAAACAAACTTTAATCACACACACGATCAGGTCGATTGGTGCACATTATTAACAAACAAATAAATAAAAACACAAATATTAAAAATTACAACATTCTCCAAAAAATAAATATAAACACATTCAACAGTGTTAATAGGTATATAGTTATTACTTTATTAGCTTTTTGTAAAAAGATTATAGAATGGTGTTTTTGTTTGAGTTATCATTTTAAAAATATTATCAAATAATTATTTAAACATTGATAACGGTAGCAATCACAACTACAGCAATAATTTTTAATAAATATAAATAAAAATAATATTTACTTTTAAATATTTTATTACGAAGTATTAATAAACCTTAAAGTTTCTTACCAAAATCTTTTGAAGTGTTATTCAGTGTTCACTTCTCACTAATAATTACCATATCGGAAATGCGAAACTGAATTAAACTTACTATTAAGTAATATGATATAAGAGTGAACCATAAACTATGTCTTACAGTAAAAGATTCTCAATCGACGATGCTTTTGAAGATGAACCAATTGATGATATAAAAGTGTACGTGTCTAGTCTAGGAAATTCACCTTTACAATCGCCTGGACCAACCAAATTGAATAATTACGGTGGTATAGATAACGAATCTATTTCAAGAACAAAAAAATTTGAAGATGTTAGTGTTGCATAATTTTTTTCACATTTCAATAGTTACCACATATTTCTTCTAATTGCAATTTAAATTTAAAAATCTGTATATTTCCATTTAGACATTGTCTCGAGACAGTGATTCGTTGATTTATAATTCAACAGTGAATTCTAACCAAAAGAATTGGTGTTGGCATCATCCTCAAGTGCGAGACAATTGGCGTGTGGTACTAGCTGCGGTTGTTTTACTCATCATTGGAATTGGTAATTATCTAGATATTACAAATATTGTGTTCTCAGTGGTGTAGCCAGGAATTACCCAAGAGAGGGTTTAATGACCTTTTTTTTTTTTTGCTCACCTCTAAAATATATTGTTTAGGAGTGGTAAAACTAAATATTCTAAAATATACTAAGTTGTACGCTAATTGAATTTCTACATTTTTGATCAGCTGAAGCTGAATAATTTATATTTATGTATGTTAATATTAAACGTTCAGTACACACGTCTTATTGACTTATTATAAACAAGTAAAAATATAAAATGAAAAAAACTTTAAATCGTAATACCAGTATTAATATATTTTTTGACATTACAAGCTATAGCAATCTTATTTTCCTTGAGTCTTTTGTAAAGTCATTAAGAACTTCATCTGTTGTTAAAATAATTTTGCGATGAATAATTAGTAATGCTAAACTATTTAATCATTTTAATCTACTTTCTCCATTAATATTTCTATGGTATGTCTTGAGTCTTTTTAATGTAGAAAATAACCTTTCACTTGTACATAAAATAGTTTCTTAAAATCCTCATCTGTATTATTTCTAATATTTTTTAACACAATAACACATTAGATACATTATCTGCCAGAGACTTGGCTTCAATTAAATAATCAATATTTTGCATTTAAAGGAGTTTACTAATAGGTAAACTTATACTAAATACTATTTCCAGCAGATGTGTTGCCAAAATAAATTCAGATTGCTTAAGAGGACGTCTAACCCGCATGTGTTGTCTTCGTCTTACACACGTACGACCTAGCAAATTATTGTTTGCTAATTTCAATAGGGTATTGTCAGTTTWGATATTAGAGTGAATCCACCTATTATCAAACTTTTAGGTAGCAACATTATCTGTGTTCTCTCGTCTGTTTTTTACAATGTTTTAATTTTTAAGCGAGTTATGAACATTTTAAAATATTCATAATTTACATACCCATAACTCACTTAAAAATTAAAATATCGTAAAAAACCAACGAGAGAACACAGATAATGTTGCTACCTAAAAGTTTGATAATAGGTGGATTCACTCTAATATCAAAACTGACAATACCCTATTGAAACAAGCAAACAATAATTTGCTAGGTCGTGTGTAAGACGAAGACAACACATGCGGGTTAGACGTCCTCTTAAGCAATCTGAATTTATTTTGGCAACAGATCTGCTGGCAACTGCACACAAAAGTTGATAAGCTCCTGATGACAATTCTCTGTCTGGCCATGTAGAAATAATCAATAATTCATCAACTTCTACATCAAATAATTCCATAAAAGTAATTATGGAGTTATGCCGATCGACCCATCTTGTTGGACAAAGTAATTTTAGTTTGGTAATCTGTGATTCAAGACATACACATTTTACTGAATCTAACATTAAATTTCGTGGTTTAGGGTATTTAAAAAACACTCATACTTTTAGTATCGTAAAATATTAAGTAATTAAATATTTTAAACTATGACAGAACATTATGTTTTAACATAATATAATATTTATAAACATCTTACAGTTGAACAATCTGCATTTGTATTCAAAGTAATATTCAATTTTGATAAATTTTCGTTGATCACTGTAGCATTTGTATTGTCAGAAATAGTAACTAAATGAGTATCCTAGATTATAATTAGTTACAAAAAAAAAATTAATTATATATATTTGAAATTTATACTCACGTATTAGGTAATATATATATTTAAAAAAAAATGATTTTACGGGGTGCCACCACTGGGTGACCTCCTCATCCCGACAATCAAATCTCATCCAATTTACTTATTGTATAACATGTACAGATTGTAAATATACTAAATTTTGTATCAATAAAAAAAAAAAATGATAAAATACTTACATCGAACGATTCAGGAACTTTTTTTTTAAAAAACTGTAAAATAGTTTTTGATTGTCCTTGTTCTTCCTTGAGTGCTATTCTCTTCAGATTATTCATAGTGATTAGTGGCCTTAGTAACTACTAACTAGTAAAAACTTAACAAACATTAAACAGTTAAGACTTTAACAGTTACACACAAACAAACCACACTTGAAACTACCATAGTATAAAACAATTAAGACTCAAAGTCCATCAGCAGCTTGATGAAAACTCAAAATCCGTTAACACATTGGCCTTTAACGTTTGCATTCTTTGGGTATGTAATAGCACGATCGTATAATCACTGTATAGAATTTTGTTTTAAGAAAATAAAAAAAGGTAAATTAAATAATAGCTATAAACATCATACTATTTTGTTCATACTATTAGAATGACACTGTTTCATTCATGAGTAATGACAAAATAAATCTATTTTTTCATGGTTTCACTTTCGGAGTGGGACGGAAACAACCAAATACCTATGGTATAAAAGAATAATTGATAAAAATATAAATAGAACAATATTACACGGCATAGACATATGTTTATATATAATTCAGAGTAGATGTGGGATCACTTGATCGTTGGTGCGATAGGCAGTATAGGCACACAACGATCACCGAATAGCGTCCCAAAGCCGTACATAGAAAATACTAAAATAATAATGATAAAAATAAAAGTATTAAACATACAATAATAACTATTTTTTTAAGCCAAGGAGGGGGGTTGAACCCTTCCCCTGGCTAAGTCACTGTGTGTTCTTATGAATTATGGATAGTAATAGAAATCAGAATAATCCATATTTAATATTGTTTGGATTTAAATATTTGTATTTCTTAACTGTAAAAATATCACCCTAGAATATTGGTAAGTTACAAACAGACTCCATCTATCAAATTTATTATAACAAAACAATTAGATAGTAAATATAGAAAAAACTTCTTATTTATTTTAATGACATCTATGATTTAATTCTCTACTTTATTCAATCATTTATTGTACCAACAGTTTTGACAATTTAATGTGGTACAAAATGTATTGAGTTATATTATAAATTCAACTATAAATAAATATCAAAGTGATATAATGTATAACATTTGATATACTTTTTATATAAATAAATAAATAGTAATATTAAATTTTAACTATGAATATAAAAATATACACAAATTCTTGAATTTAATAATATGACTAATTTATCAAAACTAATTTAATATGTATGTTCACAGTATTATTATCAGTGGCTATAATTGTGCAGTTGACTCCAAACACAGATTATCATCCAATAGTGTTTTTCATTGCCGGCTTTATATGTTTCATACCTGGAGCATACCATGTTGTATATATATATTTAGCCGCTAGAGGACATCCCGGTTACAGTTTTTATAGTTTATCTTTATTCAACTAAATATTGTGAATATCTTGGTGAGAACTAAGTAACATATAGTAAATAATATCTATTTGTCTGTAAAATATTATGAAGATAATGTTACAACTAGTGGCATAATTTATTATGCATGCATTCAATCCCTGAAATTTATGCTGATTTTATAAAACAGGAAAAATGTATTTTAAGGACCTTTGAATTTAATCTGATGTTAGGACATGCCTTATTTTTTTTTAATTGTAAGGAAGTACTTTTCTTTATGTTTTTCCACCACTTTATATATAACTAATTATTGCTGTGGTTCTTAACCTTTTATGTGTATGACAAGTTTTTCATTTCGTATACTGAAGGAATATAACAAAAAATAAATAATATTCATCATTTTTATTTATATCACAATACATTTTGTCAGAATATAATGAAAAATCATCACTATTTAAAAATTAAAATATATTTATAAAAGTTAAAATTTAATGTGGTATTTAGATTTATTCAATTTTTATAATTTTAAATGTTACAGAAAGATTTAATAGATTTCTCTTTTATGTAAATGTTTGAAAGTAAAAAAAAAACCTTATTATTCATAAACTTATGAAATTAAAAATTACAAAAAACTATTAAAGCATTTTCTGATATCTTTTGATGCCTATCTTTAATTTATATCCAAAATTCTTCATGCTATATTTCTGAATATTTAAATTTATGATCACAATTAGTTTATAAGTGTCAATGCTTATAATAATAAATATTAACAACAAAAACTATATACTGGGAAATATTCTTTCAATTAACAAGATCATGTTTTAAAGAAAATGGTGTTTTTATACCGAATACTAGTTGAAAACCATAGTATTAGTAGATCAATACAGAATTTAGTAAAATATGATCCATAACTTGTTTTTTATTTTAATGAAATGTGTCTAAAAGGGAATTGTATGGGACCAAAGTATTAATAGTAACTGTTTTCTGATGAAATATAACTGAACTAAATTCGTAATAGTAATTTTGTTGAATAATATAAAATGTCTTATCCTAATATAATACTATTTACTGCATAAATTTAACCAATGTTTGATATTCCTTTGTGGAACAAACCTTTTCAATAATCTTTATAATCTATTTATAATGCTGAGTTTATGAAGAGCCTAATTCTTATTTTTAAAAACAATAAAATTACCTGTCTGTGTTTAAAAAAGTTTAGTTTCTGTTTTGTTTTGTTTTCTTGTCCTGAACCCAGCATATTTTTCTGACCTACTTATATAATTGTTCTGCATTGTCAAGATGTTATATTATTCAGAATTTACTTTGGGGAATTATAACTGTATTGTTATTATAAAACTAAGACCAAAGAAGAATTCCATCGTAGACATTTTTCAGTTTTATTCAAATTTCAGAGTATTATTTTATAAGTAGAAGTAGAGTGTGCTAAAAATGTTTCACAGTCCATGATTAAAATATAATATTTAAATATTACCTAACAATCTTCTATTAAATTAAACATTATACTAAAAGATATTATAATATCTCAAAACACCAACAATAATCTGAATCTCAGCCAATCAATTATGTAATTTTAATACCAACATAAATATTAATTACCAATATGAAAAAAATCAAAATTTAATAATAGGAAATAATATTTTACAAGTTATAATGGTGACTAATTTTATTTTTAATAATCATTACTATAAATTTTTTTTATCAAAGTAAGGCAAAACAAGGTTGTGATAAACTATAGAAAATGTTCTAATATGAAATATTAAAATATTACATACTTAATGAATAAAACATTGATCTAAACTTTTGATTCAATCACAAACAAATATAAAACAGTTTTTCAGTTAGGTATGATTGTATAAATTATCATAAACTAATATATTTTAACCAAGAAAATAAACTTTTTTGTTTTCGGCCAATAACCTTTGATATATATATTGTATACTAATCACTGTGTAAATAATATTATACTTTTTACAACATATGAATTATACTGTTAAAGAAAATAATGAAAACAATGTCTAATCCTTTATTTTGATACCTTTGTGTTGTGATTCTTTATTCATAATTTAATTAACAATAATAATTTTTTTAAATATATTTTGTTTTATTGATCCATTKTCTTTCTTCACAACCATTATAAAGTATCAGTATTATATTTACTAGTATTAAGAATATCACTTCCTACTACTTATAGTCTATAGGATATGACATAATTTTACGTTGACATTTTTAGTATACTAGTATCAGTAGATTTCAAGGTCTAATAATTTTAAAATTATTTAATGAAGACTAACACAATATTATTATTATTATTACTGTTATGTATACAATTTATGTTTTAATTAGTTGTATGATTGTATAGTTTTATTTTTTAAATTATTATTTATTATTGTTTTTATTAGATTTTCTCTAACATTATTATTTTTTTATAAGCAAAAATGAAAATATGTAATTACAAAATTATGTATAATAATATGTTATATTAATTCTGTTTTTATGTATTATTTTATATTTTACTTTAAATCAATAATGCTAAATGCATCAACTAAAAATTAATATATTAGATACAAATCAATAACCAATATTAATAAAATAGACTTTGCTAACCAAATTAATTTTAAATTCCTATTTCCATAATTTTATATTTATGTTTTATTGATTACTATATTATTACTAACTATAGATTTTGTTTTCAGTTAAAAAGATTGACTATTTACTGTATTAATAAAACTATGATCAAAATTAGTTTAAGTTATCACTAATTATTTTAAAAATCTATATATATATCTTACAGAAACCCATCAAACATATTTAAAAGTAAAAGAAAAATGAAAAATATGTTTCTGAAATTAATAAAAATAAAAAGCTCTATTTAGGTAGGTATTATTATTTATTAGCAATATTGTGAAATTTCATTTTAATGCTGTTTAATAACTATTTATTTGTGGATATAAGTGTTGTGGATTAATAGTGCTCTATTTAACAATGAAGCATGTTTATATTTAATTGTGTTACCTATTAACTATTAGAAAATTTAACTAGTCTATGTCATCCTAAATTTGATTGTATTTTTGTTTTTTTATGTAATAAATATTATTTTATATGATTTGTTATTTTCGTTCTGTTTTGCTCAAAAATATTTTATTTCTTATTTATAATGTTATTATAAAAATCTTATGACTGTAATAAAATGTCTTAAGAAACGTAAAATCATTAAATCTATTCAAGTAGTACGAGGGAAACACTCCCTTTACCTCCTATCATACAGTGACCATTGACCAAACCCCTCATCCAATTCTCTCTTATTTTCACTAACCTAATATAAGCTTACATTTCTTTTTCATCTTTTTCTCACACCAAACAATCTGAAATTTCCATACCATGCATAATCTATTCTCCTAGTCACTAGTATCTACAAGTTTACAGTTACCTGACAATCGGTGAAAATATTTAAAAAATAATTAAATAAATATTACTAATAATTTATTGGTTTGTATTAAGTACTAACACCATAATATAAAACTAAACCAACTAATTGTCTMTCGTTAAAATATCCAATTTTTTCAGTATTCTTACACTGCTGTTAATTCAATTTATGTAATCATTTAAATTAAATTATAAGGATTTTTTCAGAAATAATTTTTATATAGGTTATATAGATGGTGTATAGTTTATAAAACGAAAAAAAAAATATATTTTTGATAAATATTAATAGCTAAAAGATATTAAATAAACATTACTTGATTTTATTTAGTGATAATGTTTATAAGACTATATAATATTAGTTTCTCAAAAAATTGTGTTTTTATTCTTTTTAATTTAATTTACATTTATATCTGGGCATTTATCCCCAAATGAAATTTGAATAAGTGCTMGACGATAAATTCAATAGTTATTGCATTAATGTGATTATAAATAAGAATGTATTGCAATTTCCAGCTTCCATTATATAACAATATATTTTTTTTTTTATTTAAATAAGGCTTCAACTCCTGAGGTTATTAGCCTGCAGTAAATACAAAATACAAAATAGTAGTTATAGAACAATATAATTGTACAGTATGAACTATGAATGCTTAATTGAATTAATTTGTATACAATTTATAATGATTCATCATTTAATACATCGCTTATGTCTTTTGAAAAAACCTGTAAAAAAAACATCAATTACTATTTTATGTCACACAAGTTGATCTAGTGCAATGGTCTTCATACTATGTTTCGGCGTTTCGTGGCCCAATTTTGGGGTAATTTAAGCTTGAAGATTTGGTTGCAATAAGTCTATTGTTTAAGATTTAAAAAATCTACTACAATGGCATTCCTACTGAGACATTAAGCAATCGGAATTTTTTTTGCCCAACAAAACTGACACGGTTCGCAAAACATGTATGGTAAGAAAATTGGCGAGTCAAAAAGTTTGAAGACCATTGATCTAGTGAATGATATGGGTACAACAACTATGCAATTTCTTAAAATTATATCTAATTCGCTTTTGAAAACGCCCTGTGAAAAAGTATGTTTTAAGAATAAGATTCTTGATAACAACCAATTTATTTTAAAGTGCATTACCTATTTTAATCAAAAACAATAATATAACATATAAAACAAGAAGATTAATTATATTTTATTGTTTTAAATACTTTGCTCAAATCTAATGTGTTACTCGGCGTATAATATAGGCAAAACAGGTACACATATTAAACTTGGCGTGGTGAAACGATGTCGTCCATCGAATTGTTGCCGTTGTAATACATTTTTAACATGCCTAAGTCTAAAATAGTAAAATCTATATTTAAACTCCAAAATAATTTGAAAACAAACTTACGCGTAAGTCATAATAATTCACTTGAATTTTTTTTTAGGTTACCGTTTGATTTTGGCTGTATTGCACGTCAAAACACTCAAAACTCAAATTTAGATAATTGTTTTTAGAGTATGTAATATCAGTAGCTATTGAGCATATTTTATTATACCATCGTGATTTTAAAGTAACTAATTTTACTATTAGAAATAAACTACAGTAGTATTAAGTAACTATTGCAAAATAATTGAATTTGAAAATGCTCTCGTGTGTATAAAATATAAATATATATTAATTATATATATAATTAATTATATATAGGAATAAATAATTATACATAGACAATAAGTATGCACAATATTAAATAATAATAATTTATATTGAACTCGAATAAGTGTGATATTGCGATGTCCGCACCAACCCGCAACCAGACTATTACTATTAGATAATTTTGTAAGCTAGATGCTAGATGATTAAGTTAAAATTAATTTCAATATGTACCTACTAATTGTAAAATGAACTGTGCTTCGCATTATATTTCTCATTGTACCTAATGATCAGCTGTATCACACTGTTTGTGCTATGGGCATAGGTGTAATTGGGGGGG